ATCCAGATAGGTTAAATGACTTGCCCAGGATCACACAGTAAGAGGTCAGGTAGTCGAAGTCACCCAAGTAATCAAGAGGTAAAATTTGAACCCAGGTCCACTGATTCCAAAAACAGTGCTGGTTCCACAGAGCCATACTTCTTGTATCATCATGAAAGAATCCTCCCTGCCCAGGTCAGGCCACAGAATTTCTATTAGTAGAGAAAGATTAAAATGTTCAATCTGTAAAGTAGTTGGGCTTTCCTAGATTCTCCCTAGATTTCCTAGATTCTAACCAGAAACATTATCACCCCCTGGCCCTAGGGTAGAGGCCTGGTTTAGAGCAGCAAGCAGATAGGGAGCTAAAGGAGGGGAAGAATTAATGATGACTCAGGATTTAGAAATCTCTTTGCACCAGAGGTCCCCCATGTCTGGAATGGGATTCCTCCTAACCACCATTTCAGAGAATTCCCCAGCTTCCTTCAAAGCACTGTTCTAATGCTGCATCCTCCAGAAGGCCTTTCCTGGTCTCACTCCCCCCTCTCACCAGTTACTGACACACTGACACTCTCTCCCTGTTGAAATTACTTTGCATTTGTTTTTGTCCATATTGTATCCCAACCAGTAGAATATAAGCCCTCTGAAAAAGGGACTGTCTTTCTCTGTTTCTGTCTGTCTCAGTCGCTCTCTGTTTCTCTCTGTCTCTGTTCCTCTGTGTGTCTCTGTCTCTCTATATCTGTTTCTGTCTTTTTCTCTGTCTCTCTGTCCTTTACTCTATCTTTCTGTATCTGTCTCTCTGCCTTTTTCTCTGTCTCTCTGTGTGTCTCTCTGTCTCTCTCTGTCTCTTTCTCTCTATCCCTTTTTTCTCTCTGTCCTTTACTGTCTCTCTGTATCTGTCTCTTTGTCTTTTTTCTCTGTCTCTCTGTATGTCTCTGTCTCTTTTTTCTCTCTCTATCCCTTTTTTGTCTCCATACATATATACTCATGTTTATGCTTATACACATATACATATATGTATGTAACATATGTGCATGTGTGTTGGCATATATTGTATATGTGTGTTGCATACATACATATATGTGTGTGCTTATACATATACAAGTATGTGTGTGTATCCCTAATGTTTAGCATGTGGTACAAACTTCCTTTCTGAAGGAATTGAATAGAACTGGAAGAGTCCCTAGAAAGCACCTTGTCCCACGCCCCCATTTCACAGATAGAAAACAAAACACGGTGATGAAAGAACCAGCCCAAGCTCACATAGCATGTTAAAGACAGAGGCCAGATGAGAGCTCAGGTGTCCCCACTCTTCTCCATCCACCATACTTTCCATTTCACAGGGCCTCCATTTCAAGGGAGCAAAGTCTTCAGAATGCTCTCCTTGTGGGCCTGGAGGGAGTAATAGAGAAGGGAGGTTTCTAAGTCACACTTGTAACTTTTTGAGAATCTCTTGGTCTCATTCGAACTGATAGCAGTATCCCCTTTTTTTCTGGAAAAGAAAGAAAAAGGCATTTCTTACATTGGCACTTACAGCTCTCAGATCCTTCTCAAAACTGATTATTTGTGTGTGTACTCACATACTCTGGAGACTTCGCATCTGTGTTGCTGCTGGTCTGAGGAGTACACACAGTTTCTGTGATACATTGCTGAGTGTTAGCTCCAGTCAAATTCAGCAAAGGGGACCACACATTCGGGAAAGGGGCTGAACTGGAGCTAAAGCTAACCGAGTGCAATCTCCATTTCAGTGCTATAGAAAAGGAGAATGTGGGCTGGAGTTCAAAGAGGAAGATAAGCCAGGGTCCCTTCCCAGCTACCCATCCTTTCCTGGAGACTAGTTTAATCAGCCAACATCAGGATGTTTCTGCTTCCTCAGACTGGGTCAAAAACAAGTGCATTTTTAAAATAAACATTAATCATTCAGTGTTTGTGTCTTAGCGTAGCATTATGATATTAATTTGCTATTCAATTTATCAAAAGGTAGGTTTTCACAGTGCTTCTGGGTTCAGAAAATGGAGGTTCTGGTCCTCAATTTATCACTGATAAACCATTGCCATTGGAACCTTGGACAAACTCCCAACCCTCTCTAGGCCTCAGTTTCTCCATCTTCTTTTTTTTTTTTGGCTAGACAATGGGGTTAAGTGACTTGCCCAGGGTCACATAGCTAGCAAGTGTCAAGTGAATGAGGCTGGATTTGAACTCAGGTCCTCCTGACTCCAGGGCCAGTGCTCTATCCACTCCCCTACCTAGCTACCCCAGTTTCTCCATCTTCTTAACCGCAGTGTCTCCTTGTTACCTTTAGGATTAAATATCAAATGAGAGGGTTTAACTAGATTACCTCTAAATATAATAATTACTTATATTTATATAGTATTTTATGTTTGCAAAACATTTTACATGCATTATCCTAAAATTTGTTGCAACGTGGTACAGTGGGTAGTGTGAGTCAAGAAGACCTGGGTTCACATCCCACCTCTGACATTAGCTGGATGACCATGGACTACTTTTCTGAGCTTTCATTCCTTGATCTATAAAATGACAATAATACCTGTAGTATCAATTTCACAGATTTGTTGTGTCAAATAAGAATACATATAAAGCAATTTGCAAGCTTTAAGGTACTGGAGAAATTCCAGTGATTGTTATTGCACCCATTTTATAGATAAGAAAACTGAGGCTCAGAGAGGTTAAACTTGTCTGAGAGTCATACAATTAGCAATGATAAAAATCAGGACTCAAAGTCTTTCTGACTCCAAATCTCAGGCTCTTTCCACCATACCACATTGCTCTAATGTTTTATAATTCTTTGGTTACTTACTCTGTTAAACAAAACTGTGAGTCAGACTTACGAGAATTGGGGATTTTGCCTCCTAACAAGCAGATCTCCTCTGTGTAGAAATATTCAATCACCCCCGAGCCTGGAGTGTACATTTGCCTACGGTAGATGCATGTGTCTGAGAAAGCTAGAGAATGTCTGGGGCAGGGAGGGTGCTAGTAGACCTGTCTAGTCTGTATTTGTGTATAATAAGAGAATTTGGAGCGATGTAAAAAGAATGTTAATATCAGATGCCTGCTATACCTCACACAATAGGGGAAAATAACTCAAAGCCAGTTGGCATCTTAAATGCTAAATATTTGACAATAAGCCAATAGAGGGGACATCAACAGTGAGGGGACCCCTGACCAGCTGCCTGCACCCAATATCTTCCAGTCACTCCTTGTCTGCTTCCCACCCCCACAATGTTGTCAGCACATTTGGAGCAAGCTATGTGCATAAATACATATACCAGCTGTCTCTTTTAATCTGGTTGCAAGATGAAATCATTAATAGATGTCAGACACATTGGCAGCAATCTCTTATGTATCATCTTCATTAATAATTTCCTTCTTTCTGAGAAAAAAATTAGTAACAAGCAACCATCAATAATTCAGAAATACAAGTTAACCTTTATATTAGCAGAGTGACTCTTTACGTGGAGCTGAATATTCTGGAGTCAGTCACTCTGGCTTGAGCAATGTTTTATGGCAGGAATATTAATATGTATTAGTGCTGTCTATCAGGTCAGACAAATAGAAATGCATAAGAGCACACTGTAAGTATTTCTCGAACTTAACCTCTTGATCCAAGTCTATTTTTATAGAGAAAAAATTATATTACCCAATGATCTATCCCTCTCCGAAACCAAGACTTTCAAAAGGAGGCTCTGGCCTTATAAAGGAGAACCAAATTGAGGTGGACCCAATCAGAGCCACTGGGCCTGCTGAGACTCCACTATGTTGTAGCTGAATTCTTCCTGTAGCATCACATAGCAGGAGCAGACGAAGAAAAAAAGCAGCATCTCACAGAGATTTGGAACAAAGATTATTTCAGGAAGGGGAGAGTGTGTTGGGTGGGGGGGGGAGAGAAGGAAGGAAGAGACATTAAAATTGCCTGGAAGGAGATACAGAGTCTGTGACTTATAAAGTGGGAAAACGGATAGTGATTAAGGAATAGGGACTGGGTCCCTAGTCTGAGCGTGATTCTACTCTCAAATTTTATGGCTAGAAAAGTCTGACCAATGTATCTCTAGTCAAAAAGGATTTTTTAAAACTCCTCAGAATCCACTAATGAAGGGAGGCATTTCACCTGCCCAAACTCCGGAGAGCAGAGGGTTCTACAGGAGGCACAACTGATGATTGAAAAAATGCCGGCGCTGTGCCTAGGAGTTTAGCAAATAAAACACAATGCCTCAGATTCCCTGAACTTAATGCTAAGACTAACCCAGGAAGACTTGGGTTCTAGTCCCCTGCTCTGCTATACAAAGTAGCTATATAAACTTGAGCATTTCTTCTCTCCCAGACTCCGTTGCTCCCTCTGTACAATGAAGGGGTTGGATGAAATTCTCTTCAAGGTCCCTTCCAGTTCTGATGCTCTGTGATTCTGAAAAGCCCAACAGTTCTTACTGTAGCACTAAACAGGGATAATCTTTGCATTTTTTTGCCTCGTAGTAGCTTGATTATTAACTGTTGGATAGTCCCTGAAAACAGGGCATCTAAGTAACACAGTGTATAGAGCACTGGGTCTGGAGTCAAAAAGACCTGAGTTCAAATCTAGCCTTAGACACTTATTAGATGTGTGACCTTGGGCAGGTCACTTAAGCCTGTATGCCTCAGTTTGCTCATCTGTAAAATGAGCTAAAGAAGGAAATGGCAAAGAAATCCCAAATGGGGTCAAGAAGAGTTGTACACAATGGAAAAAAATGACTAAAAAAATATCCTGAAAGCCCTCATAGTATCTTGTTCTGTCTGCTCTGATCATACTCCATGGAGCAGATTATATCCAGTGTGACAAACTACATTTTAGGAAGGATATTGGTCAGCTGGAGTGTGCCTAAAGGGAAGAGACCAGGGTGGTGAAGAGAGTGGCGACTAGGTCATACAAAGCTTAACTGAAGAAGCTAGAGACACCCTACAAAAAAGACTTGTTTTTGTTGTTTTGTAACAGAATGGTGGGTACCTTCTGGGCATTTCCAATTACTGTAGATCCTCAGGCACTAAAAATGTGAGGAACTAACCTACTGTATCATGAGGTCATGTGAATTAATCCCTGAAACTTGAAGATGATACAAATACAGAGTGTCCCAAGAGAAGTGCAGACCATCAGAATCAGAAGGGATCTGGCCAGGAGAGAAACTGAAGCCCAGGAAGAAACAGCTTCTTCAAGGTAACACAGCTGACAAAAGTGTCAGAGCTAAAATTTGAACCCATGTCTTCTGACTCCAAACCACACCCTCTCTATGCACCCAGCTAGCAGTATTTATCTCAGATGTATATAAAAATTTGTACCAGAAGTATACATATGTGTATAGTGTTTGTTTGTTTTCTTTTTAATGTTTGAGCTTTCCCTCATTCTAGAAAACTCAAGCTAACTTACATGCCAGTAAGTGCTTAGTAAATGTTTGCTTATGATAGGGATGAAATGGGATGATGTGTTAATGAATTATTTATTTACTCCTAGAGTTAATTAACAAAATCCAGACCTTGATTATGTCATAAGTGAAAACGTGATGATCCTCTTGAGTGTTCACCGGACATTAATCCCTGTTACAAAACCAGCATAATAGATGAATTCAGCTTCTACGCAGAAGGTAAGGACTGGGACAAATCCTGGTTGGAGCTCAAGGCTTAAATAATAGGGGGCAATTACAATTTAGGGTTTCTAGTGAATAAATAAATGAAGAACTTATTACATGCTTACTATATACAAAGCACTGTACTAAGTACTGAGGATAGAAATGAGAGGAAGGGTAAGGGAACAAACATTTATTAAGCAAATACTATATACTTGACAGTGTGCTAAGTGCATTACAAATAGTATTTTATTTTATCCTCACAACAATCCTGAAAGGTAAGTTAGTGAGAGAGATAGATGTTAAATAACTTACCTAGGGTCACAGAGCTATTAGGTGTCTGAGGCCAGATTTGAACTTGCCTAAGCCAGTGGCAAAGTGGATATAATACTGGACCTCAAGTCAGGAAGACTCCTTTTCCTGAATTCAAATCTGGCCTCAGACACTTACTAGCTGTGTGACCCTGGCCAAGTCACTAAACCCTGCTTGCCTCAGTTTCCTCCTCTGTAAAAGGAGCTAGAGAAAGAAATGGCAAACCACTCTAGTACCTCTGCCAAGAAAATCCCGAATGGGGTCACAAAGAGTCAGAACAACTGATAACTACTGAACAACAAGAAGATCACATAGACCCCCATCCAGTGTACCAATAGACAATAAAACCATAACAAACCATAAAACCATAACAAAAGTAGCCAAACATTTCATTAGGACAAAATGTTGTTGTTGTACAATAAGTAAATAATAGAGAAAACCTCTATCTACCACCAGCACCACAGATGAAGGGATAAAATTTCCCACCAACTCCCATCTCTGTGAGCAGGGCACTGAAACACTCCCTTGAACAACTCAAGCGCTGTGGTGATTATACCATAGCTGGACAGCCTCCCCTGGTTCTATATCTGGACAACTGCTATGCCCTGTAAGTTCTTGCTTCTACCTCTCATAGCTCCTTTGGTATGCCTCTGGGGCTCTCCTTGCTGCTGGTACTCCCCTCTGACACTAGACATCTTCAACTGAAGCTCTGCCCTCTCCTGTTACTGTGTGCCTCCAAAGCTACCACTGGCCACTCCTCCAATGGACTGCTGCTGCCATCTTCTGGAGCTGTTACCTACTGATGAAGCTTCCACCAGGAGACTAACCCAAGTCAACAACTCATCACCAATGAACACATTTTCACTTCTTCTGTTAGGAAGCCTTGGGATATATGAAGGGGCAGCATCAAAGCCTTTGGCTAGCAAATTTTTTTTCCTTCTTTGATTCATGTCCTCACCCCACACTCCCCCAAAATAGGAATTCACTCAGTCATAGGATCATAGATTTGGAGCTAGAAAGTACCTAATAAACCATCTAACCAACCTCCTCCTTATAGATGAGGAAACTGAGACTTCAAGATATTAAGTGAGTCATCCAAGGTCACATAATTAGTAAGTGACAAAAGCAGACCTCACTCCTAATTTGACTAGGGCAAGTACATTCTTTTCAATGCCCATCGTGCTCCTCACAGCTAGCCCCCATGCCTTGTGAATTGCCTTAAAGAGGCACTTAGTAACACTGGATGAGGAGGGACTGGAATGGATGAGCTTTGCCCTGAATTCCTACCCTTACACCAAAGGTCCCTGTCTCCCTTCTATATACTTCTCGTGTTTTCTGTTAGTTTTTACCCCACTTACATCTTGTAAATATTTAAGCAAAAAAGAAAAACCCCATGAAAATATATTCACTTATTCAATCATTCATTCAGCAGATAGTATGCAGCTGTTATATGTAAGGGCTCGTGTTGGATATCATTCATAGAGAAATAATAAATGGTCCCTCCCTCCAAGGAGCTCACAATCTAGTAAACTGGTTTCTCACCCTTATGTCAGAGGAGCTCAGGGTATGTACTTTGATTGTCCTAAGACTGTTACACTTCAGTGCAAAACAACCATGCTCTAAATCAAATAAGATATGTTCAAGTTGTAAAATCACCACATCCATAACAATAAAGATAATGGTAAGGATGAGACTAAAGAAATCAGGTCCATTTCTTTCAAAGCAGGGCTTATACTGGGAATCAGGAAGAGGAGTTCAAATTCTGCTTCAGACATTTCCTACTTGTGTGACCCTGAGCAAGCCACTTCACCTCTGTCTGCTTCAGTTTCCTCATCTGCAAAATGGAGATAATAACAGCACCTACTCCACTGGGTTTTTGTGAGGATCAAATGATATAACAGATGAAAAACATTTTGCAAACTATAAAGTACTATACAAATACTAGTTATTGCTGTTACCCTATTTATAGCATACATGACAAGGGGTCATCCAGCCTTTGCTTGAACATCTAAATTGAAGGGGATCCCAATACTTCCTGAGGTGGTTAATTCTACTTTTGGACAACTCCAATTGTAAGGGAAGAGAAGGAAGGAGGGAGGAAAGGGTGAGAAGGGAGGGAGGGAGAAAGAAAGGGAAGAAGGAAAGAAGAGAGGGAGATGGAGGGGGGGAGAAACACTGAGGGAGGAAGGGAGGGGGAGGGAAAAAAGGGAGAGGAAAGGAGAGAGGAGAGAGAGATGGATGGAGGGAGGGAGGGAAGGGGAGGGAAAGAGAGGGGGAGGAAAGGAGAGGGGAGAGAGAGAGATGGAAGGAAGGAGGGGGAGAGATGGAGGAAGGGAGGGGGAGAGATGGAGGGAAGAGGGAGAGAAACATTGAAGGAGGGAGGAGGAGATGGAGGGAGGGAGGGGGAAAGAAACATTGAAGGAGGGAGGGAAAGAGAGAGGGAGGGGAGAGAGATATGGAGAGAGAAGGAGAGAGAGGGAGGGAGAGAAGGGAGAGAAACACTGGGGGAGAGAGAGAGAGGGAGATTGAGATTGAGAGCTTCCACCCATTTTTCATAGTTCTGCCTCCTGGGACCAAAAAGAACAAGTCTGACAACAGTTAAAATACTTCGTTATCCTGTCTCCTATGAAGTTCTGTTTTCTACAGACAGAACATCTCATCTCAATCTTCCCATGGCATATTCCGCAGTCCTCTCTCACAACATCCTCCTTGCTCTCTTCTGGGTGATTTCCAGCTTGCCACTGTCCTGGCGCTCAGGATCGAACACATGACTCCAGCTGTGTCCTTACCAGGGCAGATTCCAGCTGGATCATTCCTTCCCTCATTCTCTTAAATTCAGCCCAGCTTTTTTGGTTGCCATCTCACACTGTTGATTCATTGAACTTACAATCCACTTAAACCTCCAGATCTTTTTTATATCAACTGTTGCTAAAGTAATCACTGTGAGACCTGTGGAATGAGTCATCTATCCCCAGTGTTAAATCCCCAGTTGGTAAATGTTTAACAACTGGTTCTCTAACAAAAAAAAAAGGTAGATTCAACACTTTTAAGTTTAATCTACATTATTAATGTTTTCTCCATCACTTTATTAAGTCTAGACAATCAACAAAACAGTAAGTCAAGATCTGATTTGAAGCAAATGTCCATTTCTGAAGTATAAAAGCTCACACTGTTTGAGCTGGCTCCAGAAAATCCTTCTCTGACCCTAACCTAGAGTACACACAAAAATCACTGAAACCACAGTTTTGATGCTGGTTAAACAATGATATTCTGTTTCTAAAAAAGGAGGCAGTCAATAGCAAAAGGTAATTTGAGACTCTGAAAATGTCATCCAGGGCAGATCTTCATAGCTTTCTAAGCTCTGGAACCCAACTACATTTTCACCTCTTGGCGAAAATGAGCATATTTGCTGTTAAAGAGAAGGACAGGAAATCAAGCCACTAGAAATGAGAGGTTTGATCATTATAATGAAGAGGAAAAATAAAAGATAAATATATACATATACATACACACACATATATATAATATATATTTGTATATTACATAAATGTGATACATAAAATATGTCTGTGTTATATGTAACATTTATACATCTATGAAACCTATATAATATATACTATATATATTTTATATAACTTATATATATGTATAGATACATATAAATATACTTACACATATATACATATAAATAAACTGCCTCTCCTCGATCAGAGGTTCTTAACCTTTCTTGTCATGGACCCCTTTGATAGTCTGGTGAAGTCTCTGGACCCCTTATCGGAATCATGTTCTTTTTTTTTTAAGAGGCAATTAGGGTTAAATGACATGCTCAGCATCAAACAGCTACAGAATCATGTTCTCATAGGAAACTAATCATATTGAAAGAAAGATGGTTTGTTTGTTTTGTTTTTTTTCCATCTCAGTTCATAAATCCCCTGAAATGTGTCTATAGTCTATGGATGCCAGGTTAAGAATCCCTGTCCTAGAGTGTTCTCTCACTTCCTGCCTGCCTGCCCAGGTCCTACCTAAACCTTCCAAGCCTCACTCAAGTCCACCCTTCTTCCATAATGCTTCCTCTGATTCCTTCCTCCATTATAGATCTGTTAGTTCTCCTTAATCTCCCCTTTTCTGACCTTTTATAGTACTTAGATATTATTACCACATAGTGTAGTCTTTACTACATCCTGGCTTATGTTTTTCAGTGTTATTTTATATCTCCTTTCCGTAGTGGGATTATAGGTTCCTCAAACAAACTATTCAGTTCAAAACACATTTATCAAGTGCCTAACATTCAAGACCCTGTTCCCAGACCTGAAGATCTCAAAGACACCTCCATGGACCCTGACCTCAAAAGTCTCACAGATTAATGAAGGGAGAAGACAAATATATGAAATACCTATGATACAAGGGATAATGAAGGCAGAGACCATATTTTATGTGTCCCCTGTATCACTCGGGGTCTGGCACAGAAGCTACACTGTAGCTGTGCAAAAGTACCCCATGGATGATAAGTTCAAGCTTCCAGGAACACTTTGCTATCTGTGACTTTACTTGGTCAGAAAGAGTAGAGGGAGTTCTCCAGTTCAGGTTTACATGGTAGAGATTAGATCAACATCTGCAAAGAAGACAGGATCAAAGGCCTTCTAACAATCAATCAACAAATATTTATTAAGTGCCTACAGTGTGCCAGGAGCTTGTGCTAAATGCTGAGGATACAAAGACAAAGATACACTTCAAACATCTTGAGGAAAACCACAAACCATACACATTTCCTGACCTGTTCAGGCAGGTTAACTCCTAGAGAAAGTCTGGCCCAAACAGAAGCCGAGATGTGTTAGAATGTAAAAAGTATGGGGCCGAGAGTTGATACATGGCTTCTGGTCTTGCCCTGCCTTACTTCATTGCCCCTCTCTGAACAGTCGTTTCCCATCTAGCCCTAATGTTACATCTGCATCCCAAGAGACTCTGGGTTACTGATTAATAAGGAATATTCTTTTGCCAGAGAAATGTTGCATGGTGAAAATTCCAGGTTCTGGTAAGTAGTCTATATTATGCATTCGATCCGTGAGGGGCACTGTCTCTCAAAGATTCCTCAGAGCCTCCATAATAGCAAATGCAAAGTCCTAAATTTGGATTTTTAAATCAATGTTACCCATATGTAACCTTGTCATCCAGAGGTATATATCTCGAAGTACACAGTGACTTCTAATTAAGAAAGCTTCACTTGGGGCTTGGGGTGGAGCGAAGGAGTGGAAAGGGATGCTTGGGCCTCTCCTAAAACTCTCAACCCCTTTTCTTTCTTAAATCCCTACACCCTACCTTCTCTCTTCCTTTACCAAACACCTCCCTCTCTCACATCCATGGCAGAAATTCACAGATGTGTGTTTGTGTTATCCAGCAACCCTGCAGCGAAGTCAACAGAATAAAAACCAGTTCTTTAAATTACAGAAAGCTGCATCTGTTCAGGAAATATTTCACCACTATCTTAAAAGAAGATATTTAACCCAAAATGATCAAGACTGGCTTCAGTCCTCAGCACTTCATTCATGGCTCCCATTGCACTCAGTGGGCACTACAATGGATTACTCAGAGCACATTTAGACCAAAGATTTCAGCTTTTCTCTGCCCTAAACTATTGCTCTAAATAGTTCATTAGCATGACAGTCCAGGCTGTTCATTTCTATCTAAGCCACACGCATGTCAAATAAAAAATGTTGATAAATCATTATTTCTACAAGCTAAAAAGAAACAGTTAATAACAAAACCATAGAATGTGAACGAGTTTCTAGAAATGAATGTGAGGTACAATTTCAGAATGCTAGAACATAGAAATTGCTGTCTGGGAGCAAACCAATGATCCATCTTATTGGGAAGGTTTTTTCTAGCATGGCTGAGTGTGTTGAGGGGTAGGGGGGCTGGAGGGCAGTGTTTTGATGGAGAATAAGCATGCATACAGAATTGTGATTCTGTATTTTGAGGCCTAAGGTATTATAGGACCATGGTCCCAATCATCTAAAGTCTAAAAATTAAGAGCTTGATTTAATTCAGCAAGCATTTATTAGGTGACTACTATGTGTTA